TGCCACATTCTTCCTCATAGAGCCCAGCCTCCCGGATGATGTGTTCTACATGTAAAAAAGATATGGAGATAGGATACATCCCTGGTATATGCCTTTCCTGATTTTGAACCATGCAGTTTTTTCTTGCTCTGTTCTGACAGATGCCTCCTGGTCCAAATATAGGTTTCACATAAGCACAATCAAGTGTTCTGGCATTCCCATTCTTCTCAGAGTTAGCCACAGTTTGTTGTGATCCACACAGTCAAGTACCTTTGCACAGTCAATGAAACACAGATAGACATTACTTTGGTACTTTCTGCCTTCAGCCAAAATCCATCTAAAATTAGCTATAATATGCCTCGTATCTGGAATTTCTCTCCTGATGTGCTGTTCAATGGTTTTTGGATAATTTTCAGCAGGATCTTGCTTGCATTTGATAGTAGTTATGTTGTTCAATAATTTCCATGCTCTGTCAGGTCACCTTTCCTTGGAATGGGAACAAATAGAGATCTCTTTCCAGTCAGTTGGCCAGGTGATTGTCCTCCAAATTTCTTGGCACAACTTGGTGAGTGCATTCAGGGCAACGTCTGTTTGTTGAAATATGTCACTTGGTATGCCGTCAACTCCTGGGACCTTGTTTTCTGCCTGTTCCTTCAAAGCAGTTTGAGCGCTCTTGATCATAGGTTGTTTCATGAAATTCTTATGTGTCAGCCAATTCCTTTTGGTACAGTGACTCTGTATGCTCTTTCCATCTTCTTTTATTGCTTCCTGGATCACTTGCTATTCTGCCCAAGGCATCCTTCTGAGTACTGCAGCTTGAGGCTTGAATTTGTTCTTCAGTTCCTTCAGCTTAAGAAATGCTGAGTAAAAAGGAAACAAGAAGTGCTAAGCAAGTTTGACCCTTCTGATTTTCTGACTCGAGCTCTTTGCACATTTCATTATAAACCTTACATAACTATTTTTTCCACTTTTAACAACTGACTTTATTGCTTGATTTTTCTGGCTTTATGTTTTTGGGATTTTTTTTTAAGTGAAGATTTAAAATCATACTGGTTTTTCAGCTGGTAATTCATACACACTTTGTTTTATCGTACTAATTATAATTGATTAATGTGATTAATTACAGTGATGGTTAACTTCTCATTGTGTATTGCCTTTTCCTTCTCACAATATATCTGTTCATTAGTATTCCCTTCTCCCTTTCTATCCCAACGGTCCAGAAAGGATTCTTGTGTGTGAATGCCTCCTTAGCTTTTTTTTTTTAATAAAATTTTTAATTTAATTGCCATTTTAACAAAAGTTTACAGAAAAGTTAGATTTTTAAAAAAAGTTAGATTTCCATTCATTCATTGTTGCACATTTTACCCCTCTCCCTCCCTTTCCCCTCTCCAAGATGACTTTTCCCCCACTAGTTTATTTATCCTCCTTAGCTTTTGATAACAGCTGTCTTTCCACCCGCCTGTCCCTTTGGTGATTGGCCTTTTCTTTTCAGTGATGTGTAACAGCCATTGTGAGACTGTGACAGCTTCTTTCCCAGTTTCTCCGTTGATGGGCGTTTGAGTTCTTCCCAGCTCTTTGCTGTTGTGAATGATGCTCTGGTCAACATGAGCACATACCAGTTTGCGTCCAGCTCTTGTTTCTCTGGGATAGATACCTAGTTGTGAGATTGTTGCATCAAATGGTGTTTCTGTAGGAGACTTTGTGAGGACGCACCAAACTGACTGCCATAGTGCTTGTACCACTTTACCAGCAGCAGTGAGTGTATTGTGTGTGAGTTCTAATCTCTCCACATCCTTGTCAGCATTTGGTTACTGTCTTACTGGACTTGGCTGTTGTTGCTGGGGTGAAGTGATACTTAAGTGATTTGATTTGCCTCTCTCTAATAGCTGATGATCTTGAGCGTCTCTTCATGTATTTATTGGCCTGCTGCATGTCATCCACTCATGTCTTCTGCTGATTTTGTAATTGGGTTGTTTATCTTTTTCTTGTTAACAAGTATTGGAATTTTGTCAAAATGGTAAAGATGAGTCTTTTGTTAGATATCTTACTGGCAAATGCTTTGCCTCTTTTGGCAAATGTTTTAATTTTTTTTTTAAAAAGAGATCATTTTATTTTATTGGATTAAAAACACAAAACCAGCAGGAACTAGGGGAAAGGAATACAGAAAAAAAAGAGCTGGATGAAGAAACATCAGAGATGGCACAGAGAAGGAACTCAAGAGACCCAAGTCAGGGCAGGAAAGAGGTCTCCAAGGATTAGGCATTTCATTTGATGATGATTTTTTGACGTAAGGCTCTGGGCCCTGGGCCAGGAAGGGGCTCAGGAGGTGGTGGGCCAGGGCCCAAGGCTGAAGCAGTTGGTGGCAGTCCATGGGCAGGGATATACTTCTCGTACGCCTCACGGATGATCTTGAAAGCTCGGGCAGTTGCCTAGGGTATGTCTGTAACAGGGTCCTGGTATAGGGCTGGGCTATGGGTGCTGGACAGACCTCTCAAACAGGGACCTTTGGAGGCCGCCCTTGGGGGAAACCATTCCTCAAATGTCGCATCCTCACTAAAAGTGATGAAGGTACAGGAGCAGCGGGCGGGGGGGATGACAGGTCCAGTCCCAGAATGTGGAGTCAGTGCAGAAACCGTGGGAACAGCATCAAGTCCTTCTGCATCAGCTTTTTCTTCCTTGGGGACTGGCTCTCCAGCGGGTGGCACTGGTGCAGATTGGTAGGTGATTAGAGGACCAGGGCACTTCTGTTTCTTGTGAACTTGCTTCTTTTTGTCAACCTCAGGTCGCTTATATGTCTCCCGTGAGCATAGGCTGAGCTCCTCAGTGATCTTGGCTTCCCTCAGCAGCTCCTCTTGGGTCAGTGATCGCTCATAAGGGGGCCCCTCTCGCCACCTTGATTGGCCCCGCCTTTCCTGTACCTGAAGGAATGTTTGTCGTGCATGCTCAGCTGTGGACTGACACGTGGACTTGCGACTGTCTGAGCCGTCATCCTGCAGCTCCAGCGGCAGCAGTGCTTTCTCTTCTCGAGTCTTCTGAGAGCTACTAGCTGGAGTGCTGACTTTTCGAGGGCTCGAGCTCTGGAGTGGTTCCTTCTAGGCCTCGGTGACTATTCGGTGCTTCCTCCTTGGCTTTTCCATCACTGGGTGGTTCAGCCCCCTCCTCGATGGCAAAGTCAGAGTCCACCTTGTCCTCTGTACCTGACTGGTCTCCTTGTTACTCGTCATCTCCTGATTCCTCTGTGAAACACCCCTAAGTTGTCTGGTAGAATTCATCTTCTTCCTCGGCCTCTAGCAGCCCAAAATGCCTGTTCCTGGTGGTTTTCTGGGGGACCCGGCACCCAGCCAACCTTATACTGCACACACACACCCCCAGCTCCCTTCTCAAAGTGCCTGTTTTGAGCTTTTTTAATTTTTTGGAGAATGTTTTTGATGCACATAAATGTTTACTTTTCAGGAAGTCCCAATTGTCTGGTTTATCCTCTGGTAACAGTGCATTTTCAGGGATACTTGATAGTTTATTTATGCCATAAATTGGGACTCTCACAGTTACCCCAATTGTTTTAAAATGATCTTTGTATTTAAAAAGTTTTACACATCGGTCCTTGATCCATCTTGCTTTTGTTTTTGTGGATGGTGTGAAATATGAGTCTTGTTTCCATTTTCTAAAAATAGCCATTTCTTTCCAGCATCAATTATTTTTTTTTAATTGTATTATTTTTACGTGTACCGTCAAATCAGATCTGACTGGTACAGGAGGAGATTGCCCCTCCTTCTCCAGCAGAGCATCTGGTGGATTTAGCATCAATTATTTTATAAAATGGAAATTAATCCTTGTATATTGTGAACACTTGCACAGTCCTTGACTTTCCCAGAAAAAGATCTGCCTTTTGGGAGAAGGCCAACCTTTCGGTCCAGTTTTAGGAATTTAAGGTGTGTGCGTCCTGCTAGGATCTTGCAGAGGAGACTCAAGCTGTCTTTGCATTTGACAGAAGCTCACTTCCACCCTGCTCAGAGGGCTTCCACCATACTCAGTGGTCTTCCATCCTGCTCGGTGGTCTTCCACCCTGCTTGATGGGCTTTCACCCTGCCTGGTGGACTTCTATCATGCTCAGTGGACCTTGTCTAGAACCTGGCATTCCAGTGGACTCGAGCCCTGTTTCTAGCCGTGCTCCTCCCACCTCTGTGCGTGGAGGTCACCAGGACTGCTGGCTGAGTGTCCTAAGATGTGTTTAGCCTCTGATGTCCTGACACTCTCTAGAGTGACTGTCCCAAACCTGTTTTATTCTTCTCTAGTGGAGAGGAAGACCCTTGATGAGGTGGATTGATTCAGTGACTGGGGTAATGAGGGTAGGTGTGTCAGAGATAGTGAGATTGGCATAGGATAGGGCAGAGTTTAGGGCTGTTGTGCATAGGGTCACTGTGAGTCGCAGGCAACTCAGCAGCACATACCAGTAACAACAACAACAGTGGTGAGAAACTGCACTACAGTCCCAAAAGCATGCAGTTCAAATCTGCCAGTTGCTTTGTGTGAGAAGATGGGTGCTCTCCTCCTGCAGGGTTTCCTGCCTCTAAAAATTCACTGAGGGTCAGCTGTGGGTCCTTTCCAACTGGACGGCACGTAAGGACAACTTTTGCACCAGCAGACTAGATTTTGAGAATGACTGCAGAGGTTGTTGTTCCCCTGTGGCCCACCGAGTGGCCCTTGTGTCGTACACACAGCTTCTCATCTGGAGCTTTGGGACCGTTCGTTCCACGTTGGTTCTTCATGTCATCTGACCGAGGACCGTGTCAGTGATGGGCAGCGCTGGTAGCCTGGTGGCGGAAAGCTGCACTGTAGTCCCGAGAACCGTGTCTGTGATTGGAGAGGTGCTTCCCAGGGCCTTTCTGAGCACTGTGCCCTTCCTGCCCTGCAGCTCCCAGTGTGCGGCCTCTCTGGAGGAGGAGGACTCCCTGCGACACTGTCTCCATGTAGCTCGGACACCATGAGCCCCTAGGAGCAGTACGGGCAAAGGGGAGCCGAGGATGAACAGTGAGGAGGAGTTCTTCGATGCCGTCTCGGGTGAGCGGGTGGTGGGGACGATGGAGAGGTGGTGGAAACAGTAGCTTAGGTTGGTGTCAGGGCACGTGGCCCAGGTGGACCAGGAGCAGTGGCCTCTTCTCGGGCCTGAGGACCAGGTGCGCTGTGGGCGCCCTGCTGGCGGAGCTCCAGAGAAGCCCATGTGTTTCCGCAGGCTTTGACTCTGACCATTCCGGGGAGTTCTCCGAGGCCAGTCAGGTTGCTGGGGGCCTCGATGCAGACAGTGGCAGAGGCCCGGGGACCAAAGGGACCAAAGGCCCAGGACGTGGAGGGAGTGTTGGGGCAAGGCCTCCACAGGAGAACGGCTTGCAGACACACAGGTATGTCATCCACGTGCCCCAGCAACCCCAAGCCCTGGCCCCACAGCAGTAGCCCTTGTCCCTTGGAGACAACCCTCTGCTCTCCTGGCTCACTGGGACTTGTGTCCGCAGCATGCCTGGTCTTGCTCATCCAGCCATTGGCCCTGTGCTTGGGACAGCAGGGCTGTGTCTGGCTTCACGCACTTGAGACCCCTGCCGTCCCTTCCGCTTGGAGACCTCTCCCCTGCAAGGGAAGCCTGGGTATTGTGGCTTCCGGATGGTAAATGCTGGTGATGGGGGGGTTCCGTAAAGAGATTTTGTCAGTAGAAGAGAGGACGCGGTGGGTCGCAGGGCTGTGAGCACCTGGAGACAGGTGACAGGGTGGCCCCCGGTGCTTCTGTGGCTTGTGATCAGTGTCTGCTTTCCCTGGTACCCTACCTGGTATCTCACTGAGCAGGCGTGTGGAGCCAGGGGCCTCCTTCAAGGCCTGACTGGGTCAGCACGTCTGCACACTGGCCTGAGCCCCTGCCTGCATGGCCCTGAGCTGCATGGGCCCCTCCTGGAGCTGGTCGTGGCTGCCTTTCCCGTCCATGTACCACCATGAGCCTGAGGGCAGCCCTGGTCCACCTCCCTTCCCCATCTGCCACTAACAGTGCTGGCTGGGTGCCGTTAAAATACGGTAACTGCTGCAGCCATGAGGTCCTACATAGGGATGGGTCCTTTTTCCCAGAGTGGTCACTGCAGCCTCTTCCTGAGTCAGACATCTTGTCCCTAGAACAGTGGGTAGTTATGTCCTTTCCCGGAGCAGTGGCCACTGATGCCCTTCATGCCCCCCTGAGATAGTGGCCAATGACTCCACTTACCTCCCCTGGAGCAGTGGTCACTGATGCCTCCTTCCCCTGAGCAGTGGTCAGTGATGCCCTTTCTTCCCAAAAGAGCAGTGGCCAGTGGCGCCCCTCTCCCCTCACAGGTAAAATAGAAAACCTTTCTCAGCAGGGAGGCCGGCACCCTTGCCTGTCCCCTTTCACCCTGGGGTGCAGCCCTGCTCGCTCCTCCAGCTTCCTTACGCACCCCCTCCAATACCTGGTGCAGGTCCATGGCCTTCCCTGCCACTCTCCCTTCGTCCTCAGGGAACCCTTTCCCGCTCCTGGCTCGGATTCTGTGTGCCCCCAACCCTGCTGTCCCTCAGCTGTACCACCACATGGGGTCACTGGGGCATGGGTACAAGGGGGAGAAGGGGAGGCTGAGTCGTTCCTGAGCAGCGTGTGGCAGAGCAGGTCCTCCCGGATCCTGTCCCGGCCCCTGGGCCACACGCACAGGCTCGGGGAGCTGGCTGTGCCTTCACCGTCTCAGAAGCCCACGCACACCTCCTCCGCGCGCTGGAGCGCCAGTCACGGCGTCTCCCCAGAACACCTCAGAATCCTGAGGACAAATGGTCCTGGGGAGGCTCTCAGCCTTAAAGATGGGCTAACTGTCCATCTTGTCCCATCATCCTTCGCAGGACATCGCTGCCTGCCCCCATGTTCACCAGGAGTGACTTCAGTGTGTGGAGCATCCTGAAGAAATGCATTGGCCTGGTAAGAGGCACGCACGCGATCCTGTGGATTTACCCAGGGTGGTGCTTGGAGAAAAGGTTCTCTGCATATTTGCAAACAGCATGACTAAGACAAGAAACAGGAAAGGTGCGCCCATGAGAGGAGGAAGTGTGGGGAGCTCGGTGTGGTAGAGACCATGGAGGGTGAGGGTTAGGGGTCTCTGAGAGTTGCATCGACAGGCTTGCACATTTTTGCCTCGCCCTCTTCTTCCACTCTGACCGTTCTGGTCCCAGCAGCAGACTGTGGGCTGTCACCCCCCCCCCCCCATGAGAGCCAACTACATGCGCGGGGCTGGCGTGGCTTCCGGATGTGGGAGATCCCTTGGCCTCATCACAGGGTCTTCCTCTTCTCGGTTTCTGTGGCACCCCCTTCTCCCCCTGACTTTTCAGCTCTTACAGAAGAAAAAGACAGCTTGTTACCCTTGGGAAACTTCACACACTTAGGAAAAAGTCAGCATTTCCAGGGTGAGCCGCTCATCTCCAGCGGCCCACCCCCCGTTACTGGTCAAGGCCAGTTCGGGCCCATCACTGCCACCTGGCCTATTGCCCTGGAATCTGAAGCAAATCCCAGACCTTTTCTTCTCCCGTGTGGTACTTCTAAAGGGTAAAGACTCTCTTACCAACAGACATCAAACCGTTACAAGAAACAGCACAGTTCCTTAGCGCCACCGTGGACACGTGCTATGCTCCCGCGGCCTCTCAAGGTGCTATTTGCCCTTTGTCTGAGTCCTGCTGTGGGAAAGCCTCTTGTCCCTTGTCCTCTGAGATCTGGTGCTGTGGAGACCTCACGCCGAGGCCCCAGCTGCTGGGAGGTGCTGGGAAGCCCACTCTCCCTGTTACCTGGAGCCTTTATAGGGCGAGGATGCGCCCCATCTGCACGATGCTGTCTGTGGGGCAGTCAGGAAAAGCTGGGTTTCTTGTTAGTTTTCATGATGACAGAAGGATCTCTACCTCTAGCCGGCACAACCAGTGTGACCAGTTCTTGTGTCTTTAGACCCATTTGACATGTTCTGGTCTGTAAACTGCCCTGTGTGTGGCCAGTTTGGCCCACCCGAGGCCCGTCGCCCTAGGACAGGGTGCTTCTGGGTGTGTCCTGGACCTGGGTTGGCTGTTTCTCTGGTAGAGCTCACCGTGTGCTGGCTGCAGAGTTGGCTGTCACAGACACAGCCCCCACCAACTGCTAGGAGTTGAGACTCAGCATTTTCAATGATGCAGTTTCCGTGCCCACATCCGAGGCAGCCCTGGGTCCCACCTGTGGGTCCGTGAGTGTGTCTGCCCTGCACCCTAATGCCGAGTGTGCCCACATCCATCCTGCACCCTGATGCTGAGTATGCCCATATCCGAGGCAGCGCTGGGTCCCACCTGTCAGTGCGTGAGCATGTCTGCCCTACGCCCTGAGGATGTGCCTCATGGGGTCTGTGCACCTCACTCTTCAGGGGGCTCCCCATGCTGGACTTTTGGCTTCCTGTTCTTTTTGACATTTAGAAATGCACTTCTGTCTCTTCATTTTGGGTCCAAAGGCCACTCCACCCCTCCCATCCCTGCGTTCCCCTCATCCTCTCCTTTCCTCTGGGGCCCAGACTCCAGGTCATGGCACCCAGGTCAGAGCAGAGCCACGCCCCACAGGGATACAGTCCTAGGTTTGTGGAACAAGGACCTTTGAATGCACGCGAACCTCTGATTCTTGTTTCTCAGATAAGTGTGTTAGCTGTTTGGACCCCCGAGGTCCCCTGTCCCTGGACAGCCAGTGAGGTCTCTGAAGGCACCTGTCCCAGGTTCCCTGTCACCCATATTCATAATCAGGTGCCTCCTTGCTCTTAAAGCGGTGCAGCTTCACCCCACACGTGCCCACGTCCAGTCCCCTGTGCCCATGATGGCCAGCAGGGCTGGCGCTGCTCTTCCCTTAGTCCAAGTCAAGCTGCATACAGAGCCTGTCACAAATGCCCTGTGCTTGCAGGGCCAGCAGGTGGGTCCTGGCCAGAGCAGAGACTCGACAGCGGCCTCGCAGGCCTCCCTTCCTGTCCAGGCCCCTCCCTCACAAACTGTCCCAGGAGCTGCGTCTGTCCTCTCCTTCACCTGCTGGGTCAGCTTTGGTGCCGCAGGGCTGTGTCCTCACCTAAGATCTGCCCTCCACTATCGTGTGCTCGGGATGTGTCTCAGTAAATGCCCTATGATGTTGTTTTCACCTCCCACAGCCTCTGTGTGTGTGAGAGAGAGTGTGTTAGTGAAAGTGTAGGGATCTAACCGATTGTCCATTCATCCACGTTCTGTGACGTTAAGTACTTCTACATTACTGCCTCACTCTTCCCAGTTTCCCCCTGTGATTCTCATTTCCACTAAGCCCTCTTTCATTTTGGGTCCTCTGGGCTTTCTTCTGGGCAAATGCTGCCTTTTGGATCTTGTGGGGTTGACCCTAAGGCTGAGCACCTCCTTGATACTATTTTTCAGTTTCTTAAAAAAAATTAAACAGATTTCCATTAAGTCAGAACTGACTCCTAGCTAATTCTCCAGTGGTGTTTCAGAGGCTGTAAATCAGAATTTCCCATGCTGGGGGCAGTTAGTGGATTTGAACCACCTGCATATTGGTAGGCAGCACCACTCCCTACTGACTAGGCCACCAGAGCTCTTTGCCCTCTTGGCCTGCCTGTTGTTAGTGGAAAGGTAAACCACTGGTAAGTTTGGTTCTAGGTTCACAGGGTGACTCCTGAATCCCAGGAGTTCTTCCTGACCTCCCACTGCTGTTTCGAGGAGGCCCCCCAGCCCTTCCAGACGAGACATGAGCCAGGTGCCCTGTAAGTCACTCCCATGGGGTGACAGGACACCTTCCACGTTGGCAGGTGGAGTCTCCCCCTCCTGGCCCACGTGCCTCTCCCCAGGTGTCTCAGGTGTCTAGTGCTGTGGGGATAAGGTCAGGGTGTGGGTTCCCGTTTGCCTGCATTATGGCGGACCTGGGGCAGGGCTGTGGACGCAGTGGAATGACACCGCACCTCTGGCCCCAGGAGCTGTCCAAGATCACCATGCCGATTGTCTTCAATGAGCCGCTGAGCTTCCTACAGCGGATCACGGAGTACATGGAGCATGTGTACCTTCTCCACGAGGCCTCCCGCCTCGCCCTGCCGCTGGAGCGCATGCAGGTGGGCAGGTGGGCGCTCGGCTGGGTGGGCACTCGGTGAGCAGGCAGGTGACTCTGTCCTCCTGTGGGGGAGGAGCAGGGGTGGGGCTGCAGAGGACAGAGGCAGAGGGGCTGTGACTGGAGACACCTCAAGTTCTCTGACGCCCATGCCTGCCCCTGGCAGGAATGGAAAGTCCCGCAGAGTAAGTGCAGAGCGCAGGGCCCAGCTCACAGGCCAGTCTCCCCACTGACCCTGCACCTTGCTTGTAGGCTGTGGCCGCCTTCGCGGTTTCGGCTGTGGCCTCGCAGTGGGAGAGGACGGGCAAGCCCTTCAACCCGCTTCTGGGCGAGACCTACGAGCTCATCAGGTGAGGATGGTGGCTGGAGGGTCCCCGTCGAGGGGCACTGGCTGCTGGACAGGGCTCTTCTTGCTCCAGTGCCCACGTCTGGGAGTGCCATCTGCATGGAGGAACTTGATAAGGGACTTGGCTGACCAGGCCAACGAGTACAGGGCTCAGAGGTGGGACGAGTTGCCGCTGGCAGGATCCCTGGACAGGACACCTGCAGACGGGCCCGTGGCAGGTGTGGTGAGAGTAGTGCGAGCATGGAGGTGTGAGGCTTTGAGGTTTCGTGTTGTGGTGAAAGCATGCCTGGGGGGCAGGGGCCGTCAGAACGGCTGCGTCTGGCCTCCTGGCCGCACTGCTGGGCTCTGCTGCGCACAGTCCACACCAATGGGTTCTGGTCCGTAGGTGGTCTGTCCTGTCCTCCCAGCAGCGTGTGCTCACTCATCTTTGTCCAGGTTTTGTTATTCACATGAACTTCCAGCTTCTTCCTGGTGTTGCTACGCCCCTCGTAGATAGCAGTGGTGAACCAGAAGCACATGTGCTGGCTTTATGGCAGTGGATGGAGTGGAACTCAGTGTCTCTAGGCTCTGTCTGTACATTTCAGTGCCTGGAGCCCATGCCTTTTCCAGAACCTTCCACCAGGTCGCTGGTTTCTGCTGGGTGAGAATGGCTTACCCATGATCCTTGGCAGATGCTCTCAAAGGGGCAACTGATGCATACAGAGGGGCGGCCGAGAGGGCCCCCCTGAGCCCTGCTCCCCACTGCCCACTGGGGAGCGCAGGTGGGCAGGGCTGGCGAACTCCACTCACCAGACAGCTGCTGGCTTTAGAGTCCACTGCAGCTCCCAGTGATGCCCCTCCACTTCTGGGCCACTGCTTGCACTTCCTTTAAGCCTGCAGGCCTGACCCTTTGTCCAGAACACACTTCTGAGCCTGGCCTCCAGGGACCTCCTCCCCTGACCAGCAGCTCTCGGGGAGTCATTGTCTCGGGCCATTCTGCAAGTGAGCCCGCCTCACTGACCGAGCCTCAGTCCAGGAATGTGAAGCTGACCCTCACCCACACGTGAGTGGGGAGAAGGACGGCTCAGTGCGCCATGGGCCACTGGTGGGGGAATGTCCGAGTGTGGTGCCCACGCTGTCTGGGGCCGTGCCAGAGTGCTGAGGGGAATAGCTCAGGAAAAGAGCTTGAAGTGTCATCAATGTCACTGAACTTGACATGTGGAGGTGGGTGAGCTGGGGTGTGTTCTCTGTATATTCTCAACAATACAGTTATATAAGAAAAGAATACATACACACATACATATGTGCGTGCGTGTGTGTGTGTATCACATATAGATAGAGATATAATCAGCTAGGATGGTCTGTCTATGGTGTGTGCATTTATATACGTATGTACATAGATGGATGCTGTCAGCCGGAATGCATGCTGTATCCATGAGGGTGTGTGTGTGTGTGTGTGTGTAAATTTACATGTATAATCAGCTGGGATGCTGTATCCATGGCATATTGTACTGCTGTCTGAAAGGCCTTCCCTGTTTTCAATATATCTCATCATTCAGACATTCGAGTTATTAAGAAACTTCATTAAAATGTCTTGAAAAAAGATAAAATATAATCTAAGAAAATATCTCAAAAATAGAAGACATGGAATGACTCCACTCCAGAGCTGTGCACCATCCTAGCATCCCAGAAAAATGGGGCGCACCAAATCATCAGCTGCCATGGAGCTTAATCCGGGTTAAGATTCCTGAGAGCACAGCACCCGTAGCCCTTCGGCACCCCTGATGACCTGGTCAGTCTCTGGTGAGGCCTGTCCAGGGCAGGTGTCCCACGTGGGCATGCCCTCTGACCCTGGAGCAGCCTGGACTGGCCATCTGTCACTGGTCCTTCCTCCCCACCATCCCCTTGTCTCGCTAAAAATACACCTTCTTTTCTTAGACAAGTATTCATTTTATAAATTACATGCCTTGTAGGCAACCTTTTAGAATAAGTTTTTTCCTTGGCTTTTTCTGAAGTGATTGGATATTCAGCTTCCAGTTAAGTTAGTAATTATGTGGTTTGCCTTTTATAATTTTTAATAACTAAAACTGTAGGTGTAGTCACAGTTCCGGAACAATTAAAAACTGACATTTTTCTAGAAAAAGAGTGTATTTTAAAAATCCTGTTTCCTGACCAGAAATATCTTGGGGCTTAGTTCCGTTGGAGGAACCTCTGAGCTTCTTCAGAGGTTGGTGAGGGATCCCCTCCATGAGGTGCAGAGGGCCAGCTGGGCTGTGGTGAGCCGGCCTTCCTCCAGGGTCAAGACAACAGCCTGACTGCAACGCAGACCCGCAGGCTCTAACCCCTGGGGTTAGTCTGTGTGAGGGAGGCTGGACACTTCTAGACCTGTGTCTGGACAATTGAGGGGTCTCAGTGGAGGGGACTTGGTTTTTGTCTCTTTGTGTCCTGAGCGTTTTTGCAAGTCCTGGAGGTAGCGGTCCTGAGGAGTGTGAGGGACTTGTTTCTTGCTGCCCTCTGTCCCCGAGGATTGCTCTCAAGAGAGGGTGTGTCTCAGAATGTGCAGGGCTTACTGCCGGCCCTGCACGATGGTGGTCGGGTCGGTGTCATATCTGCTGGTCAGGGGGCCTTGTGTGTCGACATTGTTCCTTGACAACACTGGGCGTTGGACCCAGAGTGGGGGCCTGCCGAGTCCTGCCGTGAGGTGTGGATGAGCACCTTTGATGGGGTCACAGACTTGGCCTTTTCTCTTGTTGCCCTCTCATCAGGGAAGACCTGGGGTTCAGGTTCATCTCGGAGCAGGTCAGCCACCACCCCCCGATCAGCGCGTTTTACTCGGAAGGCCTCAGACAGGACTTCGTCTTCCATGGCTCCATCTACCCGAAGCTCAAGTTCTGGGGGAAGAGTGTGGAGGCGGAGCCACGGGGCACCATCACGCTGGAGCTGCTGCAGTAAGTGGGTGTCTGGGGGCCCTGACCTGCGGACTGTCATCCTTAGGTGAGGAGGCGCGTGTCCATGCGGCCCTCCCCCGGGCAGCGGCGGCTTCAACCGCAGGCTCCACTCTTGTCCTGTCGCCGGATGCTGCTGCGACGGGGTAGCAGCTTTAACACACCGTGTTCTCGCAGTTTCATCTCAAAAAACTCACTGTTGTCTGGTCAGAACCGATTCAGAGCTGCCCCTCCAGCAGGTTCCCTGAGGCCGTGAGTCTCACAGGAGATTGCCCGGTTTTCTCCTGAAGAGCCGCTGGTGGGTGGACACTGCCATCGAGCATGGCCTTTGGGTTATCGTGCAGCTCCTTCCCCGCCCGGTGTCGTTGGCAGGGACTGGCCAGTGGCCTTGTGAAGCCTGCCCTGTCCTACTACAGCCCGTTGCGGCGATTGCCTGTCACCCCATCTTGTCAAAGGTCTTCTTCTATTTCTCTGCCCCTCCACCTTTCCCAGTGTGAGATCCATGCCCAGGGAAAGGCCCTCCTCACAGCGAGCCGGCTAAGCTGGATTTTTCTGTTCTTGTGCCTGTCTGACACCACAGTTCAAGGGAGTTGATTGTTCCTTGGTCTTCCTTATTGTCAAGAGTGCATATGACATGAATGAAAACACCAAGCTATGATCAAGTGTACTGTGGTTTTTAACCTCACACCCTGGCTCTTTAGTGCTTTGGAGAGGTCCTTGACAGGAATTTCCTGGTATAACACGTCTTTGTGCCTAGGAGGGACCAGTCCTTAGAGAAGGACATCATGCTTGGAAGGGTGGAGGGCCAGCCCTGGAGAGGAAGACCTCGAATGAGATGGATTGACACAGTAACTGGGCAATGGGGGTAGGTGTGTTGGAGACGGTGAGACCGGCTCAGGACAGGGCAGGCTTCAGAGCTGGTGCACAGGGTCGCTAAGAGTTGCAGGCGACTCAGTGGCTCGTAACCACATAACAACACAGCTTTTGTTTTGTTGTTTTTTTTTTAAATTATTTTTTGTGTATACCAACAAATCAGATCTGACTGGTACAGGAGGAGATTGATTGTCGCTCCTTCTCCAGCAGAGCATCTGGTGGATTTGAACTGCGTACCTCTGGGATTACAGTGCAGTTTCTTGCCACTAGGCCACCAGAGCTTGCCAGCTTTTGATTTCTTGACTGCTGTTCCTGTGGATACCAATTGTAGATTGAAGTCAGATGAGATCCTTGACAACTTCAGTCTTCTCTCCGTCTTCCAATTTAGGAGACCAGCAGTGCAATTCAGGATGCCAGGTCCAGGCATGGGCCTCTTGGTTCTGAAGGGAGATCCTTCTCCCCTCAGTGTCCACAGGCCCTGGAGGTCTCCATGACTCCGGCCTCCAGCTTTCCCTGGTGTCCGGGTGCTTCCAGCCTGAAAACCTGGGTCCAGACACACAGATGTGCGCCACTCCTGGGACCAGTTCTCTGCCTGCGTATCTAACTCCTTTTACATTAGCTGAGGCGTGGGCCGGGATTCCCCCCATACACACACTCCTCTAACTCTAGGTTTATCAGATTCTAGAGGAGCATTACAGACTGCAGTCTGACAACATTGTATTCCTTTGGTTTCTGGGCACTTCATCCAGACCATTCCTCATGGACACCAGCTTGTCTGAGCACATTCCTGGGAGGGGGCTAAGGGTGAGGGTGTCAGATGGGCATCTGGGAATTTCAAGCCCACTTTCTCACATCTTCCTGATGTGCTTGCTACCTGTGGGATGGTGGTCTCTGCTACTGTCACCCCCTGCCATCTAGCCCCTTCCTTCTTATGATGCCCATGAACGCAGGGTGCCTCAGTCCTGCCCAAAGGAGTGGCCGCTCAGGTCAAACTCTCTTCCTTTTGTCTAGCAGTGCAATGCTTAGCCCATGGCACCACCAGAACCCTTTCCTGTAGAACAAATGACCTGAACTAAGTGTTAAGTGTCCTCTAGAGCACAATAGCTGTAAACTGCCTGCAGTGTGCCCACCAGGAGCAGCCCCCGGTGACGCAGAGGCATCAGACATGCTGTGAAACCTCCAGGCCCTCCTAGTAGTTGTGTTCGTCCTGGGCATTTCCCACAGGCCCCCAGGCTTCCCGTCAGGAGGTGCGCACAGGGAGCCCGTCAGCCTGTGAGCACTGCTGACCTGTAACACGGTCTTCTCTCAGAGCATTGCCTCGGCCAGCCTTGATGCCCATTAACCTGTCCTGACGTTTAGTTGATGTTGCCAAGGACAGAAGAGAATCATTTCAAACAAATGTTAGGTGATGGTGTTGTGGGAGTTCGTAGGCCGTCTGTCCTCACAGCCTTCCAGGCTTTTCCACAGCGCTGGGAGGTACTGGGTTTGCCTTGGACTGTGGGTTCCGTGCGCCTGGCCTCAGACTGCATGTTGTACACAGGCAGAACGAGGCGTACACATGGACCAACCCCACCTGCTGTGTGCACAACGTCATCATCGGCAAGCTGTGGATCGAGCAGTACGGGACGGTGGAGATTCTGAACCACAGGTACTGCCCGGCACCGGACAGCTCCCTGCCTCACGCACAGGCTGGAAACTGAGCACGTGGAGGCGTTTGGGAGCCCTGGTTGCTCCCAGCTTGGCCCGGAGACCTTGACTCCTGCACTCATGGCGGATTCCCTTCCTGTCCCCGCGTCCCCAGCTGGGTTCCTGCACCCGTACCCCGTCTTCTCCCTGTCGTCAAAGCCCCATCTGGGTTCCTGCACGGTGCCCTGCCCCTTCCCGTTGGTGTCCTCAGCTTGCAGACCAGCCCTGTAGGAGAGGCCTCCACATGGGTTGGGTGAGATTCGGGTTGTGCTGATGTCACCTGCCACGTTCCTCAGGACTGACTTCGTGAGCAGTGTGTTTGTGGCTGACCAGCGGTGGCGGCTCACTATCTGGCTTGTAGTTGCCTGGGATTCTGGCCTGCTGGCTTCTTTATGCAGGGTACCACTTGTCACAGAGTCCCCTGGCTCCAGATGCCCCTGTGTGGGCAGCCTCCTTGGCCTCAGCCAGCCGTTGCTTCTGCCCAGCCTTGCCTACCTCTGGATACAGGTCTCTGTGTCCGCAGGACTGGGGACAAGTGTGTGCTGCACTTCAAGTCCTGCGGCCTGTTCGGGAAGGAGCTGCACAAGGTGGAGGGCTACATCCAGGACAAAGAGTGAGTCTCCCTGCACCTGGCCTGGCCTGCAGGGCTTCTGTGCACAACACTGAATCAGGAGCCAGACTCAGAGCAGCCTGTGTGTGGACCGTCGCTGAGCACACAACAGTGCCTGACAGGCACACAGCAGACGGGGTGGGAGTGTAGGGGCCATCAGGCAGGTCTGGTGGACACACGGGACGGTGTGGAGACCACTGCTGTAGCCATAAGCAGGCCTGGTGGACACACAGGGGGCGGCAGGCAGTGGTCTAAAACAACAGTCAGCTTGGCACAGGATCTCGATGGAATCTTAAACCTCATCTTTATCAGGAAACATCCACTGTGTGTCTGCAGATGGACCAAAATAGGACTGTGGGCCCAGGTCCAGGCAGGATGTACGCATGCAGATGCACGGTGTAGAGCTGCTGCTAACTTGTCCCCAAAATGTCCTGTTTGCTACAGCAAAAAGAAGCTCTTTATTATCTACGGCAAGTGGACGGAGTGTTTGTGGAGCATAGATCCCGTTTCCTACGAGTCCTTCAAGAAGCAGGAGAAGAGAGGTGACCACCTCCGAAAGGTAAGCCCAGTGATGCCTGCTCACCTGCTCACAGCAGCCACCCTGAGCATGGCAGCCGGGGGTGGGGGTGGGGGGGGAACTTAGTAAGTGCCCGGCCTGTGCCAGACTAACCTCAGGAGAGGAGGGGGCTCCCAGGTGAGTGCCCGGCCTGTGCCAGTGTAACCTCGAGAACAGGGCCATTTCAGAATGAAGGAGGGCCTAGAGGTGCGTTTGTGAGAGTAAATCAACGAGGGCTCAGGCTGCATCTGTCATAGTGAACAAGTGAAGGATTTGATGTGCCTATCAGCGTGAATGAATGATGCAATCCAGATCTGTCTGCCACAGTGGCTACGTGAGGGACATGACACGTCTGTCACAGTGAGGGACCACGCATGTGTCTGTCACAGTGAACAGTGAGGAGTTCAGTAGATGAGTCAGGGATAAAGGACGTGTCTGTCACAGGGAGTGAAGAACATGGGATGTCTCTGTCACAGTAAGAGACGCAGGACAAGTCTGTCATAAGGAGTGAGGGACGCAAGATGTGTCTGTCACAGGAGGGCCTCGGGACGTGGGACGTGTCTGTTGCAGTGAGGGACGCAGGATGCGTCTGCCCTAGGGAGTGAGGCGACGCGGGACGCGTTTGTCTTGGTGAACACGGGAGAGACGTCAGCGTGTCTGTTAGGGTGGAAGCACCTGTCTGGAGCCCCATTCTGGAACCACACGTGCTGTCGTTAAGCAGGGCGTGGTGCTTTGCCCGGGTTCCTGTGGGTAGGACGTGTCCTTCAGGTGCGTCTGCTAGGGAAGGCCACTGCGTTCTGCAGCTCCACATGCTAGCTTCTTCATAATAAGGCTTCAGTCTGTCTTTACTTGACCTAGAGTAGGCCTAATTTACAAGCCAAATGCTGCCATTTCTTCTTTTTAATTCTGAATAGCAGGTGAGGTTTTTAACAGGAAACACTGGAGAGGTTTCTCCCAAAGCAGTGGAATGCCTGTGAAGATTACTCTTGGATTTAAAACTGGAAGTGATAGTTGAGAAGCAGGCTGCAGCTTTCTCTTTATACATTGTTGAGTCCCCTCCGACTGGTGTCGGCCCTGTGGCCTCTCGGTCTTGGCCAGGTTGGGCCTCAGCTGCTCTGTCTGTCCGCTGGGGGTCTTCCTCCTTTTCACGGACCCCCTACAGAGTTGGAGCGCCCTAACCTGTGCTGCTCAGTGTTGTTGATTGGGGATGTGCAGCCTCTTGGGGCTTTCGTGCTCTTTCTGGGTGACACACTGTGTCTTGAGACGTCTTTTCCAGAACTCTTTTACCTCAGAAAACAGGAAGTCCAGGTGGACTCGGAGTGCTTGTCTGTTCCCAGTCTCCTGAGCCCCCTGCTGCTTTGTGTCCTGGGGAAGGAGAAGTGAGAGAACTGCACATTTCTTATCCTGGCTGTACCTTTCCAGCCACTGGCCCGGCAGTGGCACCGCTGGGGCTGGTGGCGACTCTGGAGCCTGGACCTCTAGCAGCTGCATTGAAGGGGCATTTTCTCCTCCAAGCCTCCACGGGTCTTACAAAATGTCTCCAGCAGCAGTCCGTGCATGTGGGTCCGTGCAGGCTGTGGCCCACGTGGGTACATGCGGACTGTGGGTAGTCCGTGCATGTGAGTCCATGCGGGCTGCCGTGGTCCGTGCAGGCAGTCCACGTGGGTCCATGAGGGCTGTAGTCTGTGTGGGCTGCAGTCCATGAGGGTCCATGTGGGCTGTGGTCCAAGGGGCCAGCAGTCTCAGGCCTAGTTCAGGAAGGCCTCTGGCCAGAGGCGTGCTGCCCAGGAGAGCAGTGTGGATGCCTTGCGTGTCAGGCTGGAAGAGCACCTCTCTTGGTGCTGCTGTGGTCCCCAGAGGGACCCAGCTTCTGGCTGGCACCCTGCTCGTTCCTCAGGAGGCAGGAACACCCCTCAGGTGCCACCTGCAGAGCTGCCCCCATAGAAACCGGCTGCCCAGTTCTGCGTGTTCCCAGGGGAGTGCACAGATGGGTGGAGGAGGGTTAGGGTTCGGTGCCCGCTCCTCAGGTTTTGCTCTGCTGGCAGCTTACTCATGCTGGAGAAAGGCTTGGCGACCCCTTCCCTGAGGTGGGCACTGCCTGGCCGCCATGACCCGTGGCTCTCTTGCAGGAAGCCAGCTCTAAAAAGGGGGACAGTGAAGTGGCCGACAATGTGCCAGAGGCCCAGGAGACGGTACAGGTCATCCCAGGCAGCCGGCTGCTCTGGAGGATTAACACGCGGCCCCCCAACTCAGCCCAGGTCGGCCTGCTCCCCTCAGCCCTGCTGACCCCGGGCCACCTGCTCCCCTCAGCCCTGCTGACCCCGGGCCACCTGCTCCCCTCAGCCCTGCTGACCCCGG